TTACAAGTAGAATACGTCCAATCTGATTGGAACGCCGGGTATACTACTCCAACACAACCTCCCCCTGTGTGCCGCTTTGCCTTGCCTTCAAGTTCTCGAGCTTCTTACCCGACTTTCATATCGTGGTAGACCTTTGCATGCTTGTCCTCCTATGCCATCGTGCACGTCGGCACCCTCGTATACGGGCTCATGCACGTCTCGTAGGCCATGCAAGCCTTGTTACGGCCCTTTGCTTGGCCTCCTTGGATAGTATCGGCCTTCGAACCCTCTCATCTTTGGGGGTCGAAACCCACTTCCGTATCATTCCCGTCCCCTTTAAGAATGTCCTTGTCCTCAAGGACTCATCATGGACCATCAACCAAGTTACCTCATTTTCAAGATTCACCTCGACCACTATGTGCGCAACTTCAACCACTGAAACCTCTAGCACACCTTCTTCATCCTGTTTCTGAACCTCGCCGACCACTTCGTCTCCTTTAGACTCAACCCAAGTTCCTTCAACCTCGATAAAGTGTTCATCGGGGTACTCATCAAAAATAGGTGGTCCTTCATAATCCGTCGACTCGTACTCGTACTTCATGGCCGTTGAGTTCATAAAATATTTCAAGAAATCAAATGAGAAGATAGGCTCCTTACACTTTCTGTCGACCCGACCTTCTTCTTTGTCGGACTCGCCTAGGACGTGGTCGGATGCTCTAACCAACTCGCGTATCTCAGATTGTTGTTGCTCGATCGTCCAAACCTCTTGCTCCTCGCCTTCGACCTTATTTTCCTCGACCTCGACTTCTTCAATTACTTCGATGTCCATGAGTTCATCTTCGGGGTAGACGTCGAAGATAGGTGGGCCATCATAATCCATCGAGACTTGCTCGACCTCTTCAAAATAGTCGTCGAACAGTGGGGGGTCCTTGTAATTCACTGGCTCGACCGTTCCCGCGTGTGCTTCTGCCTCCTTGACGGCGAAAATCTAGCCACCCACATGCCAAACTCGCTCTATACTCTTTAATCCCACCTCCTTGGTACCTTTATCTGCGCTAGCCTTCAGAGTGACTCGCTGATCTCCAGATTGGAATTCCATGATCCCGGTTCGGTAGTCGGTGGTCACCTTTTCTAAACCTTCGAGCCATTTTACTCCCAACACAATGTCAGGTCCAACTAAGGGTAGCACATAAAGATCGACTTTGATGGTGACTCCTTGAAATTTGAACGGCACCCTCACGATAAGACTCGGTGCACCTTAGCCGTTCACCATTGGCTACTCAAACCTCGAGTGGCTCTATCTTTGTTGTTGGCAACTTCAGTTTCTGAGATAGATTGGTGTTGATGAAGTTGTGCGACGATCCGTTGTCTACGAGCACAACTACACGATGGTCCTTGACCAATGCCGATAGCTGCATCGTCCTCGGTCCTCGAGTACCAGCCATCGCATGCATTGAGATCTCAGCATCTTCCTCGAACATTGCGACCTCGATCTTGTTCTCTTCGTGCTCATCGATCACGGGTTCTTCTTCGTCATAGTCGACGACTTCTATCACAAAGGATTGCTTGCATCGGTGGCCCGGTGTAAATCTCTCTTCGCACTTGTAGCCAAGCCCCTACTCACACCGGTGCCTTATCTCCTCGAGCGACAAGTGCTTGACTTCTGGTCCCGGTGGTCGTGCGCTATGGGTCGGTCGAGAGTTATCAGGCGGTCGGCCGCTCGGAACCATATTGCTTGCATCCGGTTGTGCGCATCGCGTCTCGTGGTAGCGTGCATCCGCCCGTCCCCTTCGAGTTGCCACAAGATAATCATCTCGGCGTCGAGCAACCTCCATGGCAGCATGCATTGTCTCGGGATGCTCTAAGCGCACCTCAGCAGCTAGATCAAACTTTAGGCCGCATATGAAATCTCCTACTAACGCGGTCTCGTGCCAACCTCTTACTCGACAAGCTAAACGCTCAAATTCTTTTAAATAATCACGTAAGCTACCTGTCTGCCTTATTCGTGTGAGAGCCTCGTTGTAGTTGTGGTAGTCGGACGTTCTGAAACGTGTGAGTAACTCTCGCTCGAAATCGCTCCATCGTATGACTCGCTGTCGGCTCCGATATACGTTAGTAAGCCACTGTCACCACACGTTGGCTTCACCATTAAGGTAATAATCAGCGTACCTTACTCGATCATGTCCCTCGATCTCGTTGAGATCAAAGTATTGAACGGCTCGGTTGAGCCAAGACTCAGGATCGTTGCCGGTGAACGTGGACAGCATGATCCTCGGCTTCTCGGGCTTCGGGCGGTCATGATAGTTGGACGCCTGGGATCGCTGGTCGAAGTCCTCCTCTTGATCTCGCTCCACGCGTCGCCGCTCTTCCTCCTCGGGCCCCTCGCGTTCGTGGTGTCGTTCAAACTCTCGATCCTCACGCCGTCGCTCGCGGTCCTCATCTCGCTCGCGTTCATGGCGTCGCTCGAGCTCGGCATGCTATCGTTCGTGCGCATGCCGGAGATGCTCGCGCCTCGGGGGTGATGGTGGTGCGTCGTATTGCCGTTGCTGCTGCTGCAACGCCCGCAGCTGTAACGCCCCGAAATTTATTAATAAAGGAAAATACTAGCTTTCGAGTAAAAGCTAGCCTTTGTTAATAAATATTCATGTTAATGTCCAAGTCTAAGTTAATCAGCTAATTAAATTCCAAGTTCGACGTTAAGTCGAAAATATTCGGTTAATTTTATTTATTAACCGAGTCAATTCTAGTAATTAATCTCAGTCCGTTTATTTAATAAATGGACATTAGTAAGTTCAGGATTAATTATCCTAATGGTGATATATTAATCGAATTGGAAAATATTCGGTTAATCGTCAAAGTTGAGCTCAAGCCAGTTATTTAATTTCAAAAATAAGATCGACTTTAAGTCGAAAGTCTATTCGGTTTAATTTATTTTTAATAACCGAGTTAATTTTGATAATTAGTTCCTGAAACGTTTATCTATAAATAGATTTTATTAGTCGAGATTAATTATTGGAAATCAAGATTATTCGAGTTAATCGTCAAAATCAAGTTGCGATAGAAATTATCTAAGTTCGGTTAAGACTAATACTTGGAAATAATTTCTAAGTATTGGAATTCATATCCTATATATTTAATCTTTGTTCAATCAAGTTAAGCTTATGTCAATTGCCATGCCTAAGTCTTGTGTACGTAAATCAATGGTTTATTGCCATGCTAAGTATGACCATATATCATTAGTTAGCTTTATTGGTCATTAAATGTCCCAATTGCCGTGAGTTTTGGGAGCAAGTTCATGTGATATTCTTTTTTTTTTTTTTCCAAACGATAATATTACCATTACTCAAATAAAATAGAGTTTACAACCGGATGGCCAACTAGCCATAATACAACCCAGAGAACCACACCCTACCGGTGGCCTAGAACAAGAACAACAAGCACAACAGGCATAACCAAGGTTAGACAACCTGTGCACTAAAAGAAAACAACACAAACTAAGAAACCAACAGCAACATAAAGTCCAAGCCACTGAACCGAAACGGACCTAGCTATGGACAAAGCAAACTACTAACTACCAAAAAACAAAGAAAACAGAAAGGAAAAACAGAAGAAACTAGAAAAAAGAACTAGAGGCCTCGGACCATTCTCTTTGAGCCATCTTGGAGATAGCCACTTCTGATAACCACTCTTTTTTAAAGATCCACAAATTTCGGGACTTCCATAGCCACCATAAGATATAGGTGGACAATGAAATACGAGCTGCAGTGACTGGATTCATTTTCATCTCTGCAATATTCCACCACCAGCCTCTAAAGCCTGTTGTCTTAGCTTCAGTGAAGTCCCAAGATAAAGGAGTTGCTTTCCACACCATCTGTGCTCTTCTACATTCAAAAAATAAATGAGTAACAGATTCCAAGGCATCCCCACAACAACTACACACAGGGTCAACTTCCATTCTCCTCTGCTGCAGGTTAAGAGCAACTGGTAAGTTATTGGTAAAGCATTTCCAGAGGAAGTGTCTCAACTTTGGTTTGACTTTCATTGTCCAGCACCTCATTCTTGCTTTTCTATCCAAAGTCTGAGTGTAGCTACAGCTAGGAGAGTCTAACTGCAAGACCTTTTGGTCAATAGCTGTCTTATAGGCAGAAGCCACAGAGAAAATGCCCTTAGCATCTGGGCACCAGATCCATCTGTCTCTGGTCTCAGGGTTTAGAGTTTTCATATTTAGAATGGCAGTACAAGATTCTGATGTAAACAAATGTTGCAGTAACTCACAGTTCCAAGATCTCCCAGAATCAGAAATTAACTCCCAAACCCAAGTCACCTGAGAATGATCAATATTAGGATTGAAGCAAGGAACACCTGTTCTGGTACCCAACACCCAAGGATCAGAAAGAATTTTAGTACTAACCCCATCACTCACTTGCTTCCTGAAGCTGTTCTTGTAAATATTCATAATTTTCATCCAAGAATTCCAAAGCCAAGATGCAGAGGACTTTCTATTAGCATTTAGCCCACAGTCTTTTGGGAAATACTTCTCTTTTAATATTCTGGTCATAAGACAGTTGGGCTTGGTCAGTAACCTCCAAATCTATTTCAAAATCAGAGAGTCATTAAAGATCCTGAAATCTTTGAACCCAAGTCCTCCTGCAGCTTTAGGGGTTGTTGCTTTTTGCCAGGCAAGCCAATGTACTCCAGGCTGATGCTCTTTGCCAGATGACCACCAAAAATGAGCACATAACTGTGCAGCAAAAGATAAGAACCTGTTTTTCCAGCTAACAATTTTCTTCTTCACAGCCACAGTAACATATTCAAAAACTTCTCTTTTATTTTTACCAATGCCCAAAGGTAGACCAAGGTATCTAGATGAGTGACAGACTTCAATTCCTTGTAGACATTGACAAATTTCAGCTTTGAGCCCCACAGAAGCATTCTTACTGAAGAAAACTTTAATGAGTTGCCAGAAATGCTGGAAGAATAGAGGAGTCATGCCATCTTCACCAGGTGCCTTATTAGGATTCATAGCAAACAAAGCATCCTTAATCTCAGCTTCATCAACAGCTGCAATCAGTCTTGAGTTCACTTCTTCAGAAATAACAGGAGAAATAAGTTGTAGAATGTCATCCTCATCCTCAGAACCACCAGATGTAAATAGAGACTGATAAAAATCAATGAAGCAAGCCTCAATCTGCTCCTGAGTATCTGCAACTCTATTCATGTTATCCACCACTCTGGAGATTGCATTCTTCTTCCTCCTTTGCATAGTGACAGCATGAAAGAACCGAGTGTTCTTATCCCCACCCTTCAGCCATTGTATCCTTGCTTTTTGTCTCCAGAATTCCTCTTCAGCTACATGAGACTCATCAAGCTCTTTTTTAATCCTTTCCCATTCCTCCCAGTTTCTCTGACCTCCAAGAGCTCTCATTTCCTCCAACTTGAGTGTATATTCAGCAATCTTCCTCTCATTCACAGACTTAGTCCTTTTATTCCACTTAGTAAGAGCCATTCTGGTCTGTTTAATCTTCTCTTTCAGCTTATGCATTAAAGACCCCTCCACTGGACTAGTCCAAGCCTTCTCAACCTCTTCTTTGCATCCAGGTTTCTCCAGCCATCTTTTGTCAAAACAAAACCTCTTGAAAAAATGAGACTGAGCAGTGCCATTATCCAATATAAGCATATAATGATAAGATGCACTTTTGAAGTAAGTCTGAACCTTAGCTCTGTTATTATCCACCATCCAGGAGTAGGAACCAAATACCCTGTCAAGCTTTTCTTCTATAAAATCCTCCCCTCTTCTATTATTACTCCAAGTATACTGATAACCCTCCATCCTCACCTCCAACATACCCATTCTGGCAATGAAACTGTTGAAATCTTGAGAGCTGCTCTGGTACCTCATTCTGCCCCCTCTTTTCTCAGAATCCCCACAAATAGCATTCCAGTCCCCCCCTATGCACCATTTAGAACCAATGATTTCTGACAATCTTCCAATTCTAGCCATTGAGATCTCCTCTTCTGATAATCTGTGCTAGCATAAACTAGAATCAGCCACTCACTGCTCCCAGAATCCTCCAGCTTATACTCCACTTGCAGACAGAAGGTAAGGTTAATAATTTGCACAATCTCCACCTTCTTACACCACAGCAATAACAAACCTCCACTCTGACCAACTGGCTCCACTGTAAAACTCCTCTCAGCAAATCCAAGTTTCTTGCACACAGTATCAGTAAAGAACTTATTCTTTCTAGTCTCAGATAGGAACACAAAATTTGGGAGGTGGACTCTGATTGAGTCCTTAAGCTGGGAAACTGTAGAGGGTCCTCCCAGACCTCTACAGTTCCACAGAATTGTCTTCATTTATTACCTTGGGGCCATTCAAGGCTGGCTACCACCACCTGAGCATTTTCATCATCAATTCCCTTCCTTGCTTTCTTAGAAACAATGTACATATTCTCTGCTTTCTGTGGGACTACCTGTAAGATGATTGATCTGCCTCTTTTGCCCAACATGATAATCTCCTCCTCAGAGTTAGTATCCATGGCTCTCTGCAATCTGCCTGATTCAGATTTCTTCCTTTTCCAAGTTGAAGATTTCAGCTTCTGCATCTCTTGATAACACAACTGTTCATCTCTCCTCTCTATCACAATCCCCTTGCCTTTAGAGCCCTCTTTAGCTTTGACACTGCCTCTATCCTCCACCCAATCTTGTCCTCCTCCAATTTGGATGTCCTGGTCTTCAGCCTGTCTCATAGGAATGTCAGCTGTCTCAGGAACCGAGGATTTGACCACCAGAGCGACTGACATATTATCCTTGGGCAGATGAATCAAAGGAAGTTCTGCACCTGTTTCCTCATAAGACTTTTCAGCAACAAACTCCTCCTCATGAGCCGTGTTTGATGGGTTCCCAGATTGCAGCAGATTACTATTAGTTTGGGATGGAGTTGAATTTTGAGAAGAACCTCCAGTTTTCCCCGTCTCCGTCGCTTTCAACCATTCACCAAACTGCCCCATTTTCTGAATACCTTCCTCAATATCGTTAGCTCGAGCTGTGCACGCCCTCTCTAAATGTCCCACTAATCCACAGTAAAAGCAACAACTGACTAGCTTCTCATACTGGAAAGTAACTCCCAATCTCTGCTCTCCAAGTTTGATATGGGTGCAACGTAGAATGGGTTCTGCGATGTCATGTGACACCAAAAGCCTGAGGTAACTTCCATGGACGCCACCTGACTTGACAACAATAACATTCTTGATTTTCTTGAATAGCTTCCCAATCTTCCTGCCCACCTCAATGCTTAGCCAGTTTAATGGTAGTTTATGAACCTGCACCCATAAGGATATCTCACCAAACCCTGGATCTGAAGCAATTAATCCCTCTCTCCAATCTTGCAGCACTAGGTATTGATTTTCGAATACCCAGTTAACTCCTGCTAGTACCTTCTCCTTGTCCTCCTTACAGCCAAAGATGAATTGGAAAAAATTTTCCCCCACTTCCTTAACTTCAAAAGCCATATTGGTTTGCCAGACTATTCCCATTACCCTTTTCAGCCCAAATATACTCGCCTTACGATCCCCAATAATCTTTCCCAGCACACTTCTGCGACATTCCTCATCACTTAATCGAACGTCATTGGTATCCAGCTCTACATCGTTACTCTCCTTTACCGACAGCTCTAACGCCTGGAACTGATCGCCCAATTCCTCAGCCATCGAGAAACCCTAGCTCCGTACCACACCGCACAAGAAAGGAGATCAGAAGAACACACAATAGAGTAAAGGTATAGAAACTCTTCCACAAGAGAATCGAAATCTTCAGCAAGATACTAACGTCTCCGGCGAGATAATTTTGCTCTCCGATGAGAGAATTGAATAAGCCTAGTTCATGTGATATTCATCATCATTACTAGGACATGTGGAGGAATAATGGTTGGTATGATAATGACTAAGCAATACAAGGTGAATAAGGTACCCAAACAAATGCCACGTTGACTAGTGATAAAGCAATAGGAAAGCTACTAAGGGCCTCCTCGTGCAAGGCAAATGGTGCACGTTTATTGGCTCAAATTTTTACCAAAACTATTCCTACTTCTATTTAATCTTCAGTCGTGAATAAGTTTTGGGAATACAAAATTGAACTTAAGTTAAGTACTAAGTGAGATTAAGATAAGTTAAGTTCATTTCTTATACACGCACGCAAGGCTACCACAGGCACACACACGAGCTACCAAACGGACGAGCAATCGCACGAAGTTTTGTATAATTAATCGAGTAACTGAGGAGCTAATCTCTTCATGATCCTATTTCAATGTTAATATAAACAGACTAAGCTCAAATCATGAAGCTAAGTCCATGAACATGCTATATTTTCCCTCGATCGTACCATTTAAGTCATGCCGAGCCATGTCCGTTTTATTCGGTAACTCTCGAGTAATTCATGTTTACTCGGTCACTATATGTTATTCCATGTTCAGTTAAGTAATGATTGTCGAGATAAGTTTTCGTTTGGTCGAGGGATTTGCCAAAGCCGTAGACAGCGCACGTAGCGCACGCCACGGTCGTCCGCGTTTCGTCGGTCGAATTAAGTCATGTTCTGAGCAATTATGTGTATTTCTTCAGATTATGTTAAGTCATGTTAAGTTATAGTCAGTTATGTTAATTCATGTCGTAATGGTCGGAGAAAATCGCCGGACGACCGGCAAGGGTCGGTCGTGGTCACGCTGCCCGCACACAGCGGCTACAACGTACCGGCAATCATACAGGACGGACGGGCATTGTGCGTGTGTGCCCAGTCGAGCGTCACGTACAGCCTGCCCGTAGCAGTTGACTGTCGGCTAGTGCCTAGCGCACGCCGACAGGTCTTCGCGCACGCCAATGCTCACAGCCGCATGCCAGTCGGCCTTGGGCAGTGCTCGACAACACGTCCGAGTGCCTAGTACCGCTAGGGTCGCATAGCAGCGCCCGTGCGGTACCCGTTCATGCCAGCCAGCGCCCATGCACGCGTTCATGTTTTCAGTCGCCTGTCGCGGTGCTTGGTGGCGCCCGGCAGTGTCCAGTCGCGCTAGTGCCAGTGCCCACAGCGCCCGGCAGCGCCAGTCGTCATGCCCTGCGTCCAGTTGACCGTCGGCCGTGCCCAGCAAGCACCTGATGGTCCTGTCATGCGCGCGCGATATGCACGCCAGTGCCCAGTGTCATGTCTGCGA